CCCCCCCCACCTTGTGTGTCATATGATTTAGCTAAGCTAGTATTTAAGTTCCCTCCTGTCATTTCAGGAAGTCAGTTTGTCTTATGTTTGATGTTTTGTTAGTTGTTATTTTGAGTTTAGTTTATTGAGTTGACCTCTTTTATTGGTCTGCCTGTTTAAGTTTTTGGTTTTGTTAATTATCTTTCATATTTATATCATATTCATATCTTTCATATCCTAAAAAGTTTTTAGGCTCAAGTCTGTCAAAAGAATCAATGCAAATTAAAAAAAATTTTTTCCAGGAGTGAGTGTTCATATCCTGAACCACGAAAGAACACAGTTTTATATAAATGAAAACTTTTTTTTCAGTATTTTAGGCAATGGCTTTATTTGTGTTAGACAAGAAGAACTGCAGGTAGAAAATGGTGCATTTGTACATTTTCACATATTTTAAATGGCACACACTGCTATCATCATCAGTACCCAGAAACTAAAGGTTCATTTTTTTTAGTTAACAGAAACCTAAAGGTATAATCTAAAGTAAAACTGTCAAAGCAAACAAAGATATCTGATGGTGCATCTAAATTTAGATATGCATTTGGTGACAAATCTACACCCCGTGGACCTTGTTATGAACTGCAGGCTATTCGACATATTAAGGAGTCAATCAAAATACACATAATGCACTGTTATCTATCACTGAACATTTCATTAACAAAATCTTCTGCAGTTGGTTATCATTTTCTCTGACATGAGCCTTGCACATATAAACTTAATTTCCTCTTTTATTTCAGACTTCCGTCCATTTGTTTGAACCACATAGTTTTTAAGAATCACTCCAACTGCACTGTAGTGTGCATGACTTCTTTTTTCCTTTTGCATTTGCAGGCCTCAGTGTGAAGATTATGCAGACCTTTGGAACTGGAAAGTACTTTTACAACTGTATAATATTACATAATTGCAGCACATGATTTTTACACTACGACAAGAAAAGGAGACTCCCAATTTATCTCCTCTTTCCATGCAGGCCAGCAGGAAATGAATACACAGAAAAAAAACCAAAAACAGATTTTCTGTTATTCACAGACCTGTTTTCTTTCCTCTTTAATCCATGTTAAATAATTTTGTTGTTAAAATTGTTGTTATGTTAATTAAGTCTATTAATACATTACATATCAGGATTCTGTGGTAAGCTGAACCACAACTCCCTCAGAAAAACTGTGCTTTTGTTCAGCATCTCAGTAGCAGCTTCCAGGGTCGTAATGATCTTGCCTTTAGAAAAAAGCACGACAATTATTACAGTTCCTGTGAATGTGAGCATCAGCGGAGAACACAAGCCAAATTTACTGGTGTTGTCTGGTATTTCTCTGGTTCTGAACGGTTGAGAAACCCGCTCCCACTGAGTGAAGATAGCTTGTCTGGCACCAGACCAATTTCCAGGCCCACTAAGACGATATTGATAAGGTGTGCAGGGACCAAAGAAGACCTTTGCCCAGAGCACAGGGTCTCTCAGAAAAAGCCTCAGGAGTTTTGGTCGAACACCTACCTGTGAATAAAAATCTGTTATGAAGGATTTGTCTATGATTAATGTTGAAAATTTTATTTATAGCTAAAGTGAACTCACTTCCCCAGCCATAAAATCCAGATATGGGATGTAATCAACCTGTAGAACAGCCTGCCGTGGACAGGGATAGCTGAGAAAGAAATATTTTCTTGTGTCATTAACAGGACTTAATGGGAATAAGTAATCGACCAGGGCCATTTAATAACTTTCAGAAATGATGTCTACCTTTGCATGTTTCTCCTCCTCTCAGATTCAAGGACATCCAGCATTTTCTCTTTGGTTGGAAGACGACTCTGACCTTAAAGATATGATGTTTCAGCTACTATTTCCCCAAACCCCGTGTAGGCTTATGTGTTTGTTTGAAGAGTTTACCTAAAAAGACCTTAACAGCCCAGCAAGCCTGCATTTCCACTGTAGGCATGAGTGGACCTTTTACTTGGAAAAGTCCCATGACGGCCAGTGTGGGAGGTTGCAGGGATGGAGGAAACGCTCTCCTAAAACATGAAAGATAAAACTTTGTGGTGGTACTTTAAGAATTTTAATATGATAGCACTGTAAAAGTTGCCTGCAGCACCAACCCCCAAAAAACGTATCATGTATGATTCAAACTTTAATCTCTAGACTTTACATTTACATGCAAGTCAGTGATCCACTCTGTCCACCATAAACTTACTTGTACAGTGTCACCTCTTCATATGGTCCCTCTGACAGAGTTGATGGTAGGAATGGGAACTTTGCAATGTAACCTGTGCAAAATACCACGGCGTCAATGTTCTCCTCCACCGTGCCATCTTCAAATACAACTCTAGAGTCCTTGAACCCTTCCAGATTGTGCTTCATGACTATTGCCCCCTGAAGGATTCGGCCTGGGAGATCGTCATTGATCATAAGGTTTCTCTCCATAAGTCTGTGAAAGAAGTAAAGTAGTGAAGTCTCTGTTGCTACAGATGCTGTTGTCTAATTGTCAGCTCATGCCATGCTGGTACTGATGAAATTATGAGTAAAACTCGAGAAAGACTTATGTCAGACAAGAAACAATATAGAAATAATTCTGATTAATTTTCGTCTTTATTAGGTAGGAATTACAATTGTAAGTGTCTTTCAGGTTTGAGGGGATTGTGCTGTCTTTTTTAAAGTTTCGTGAAGTTGTGACGACTATTTCAAAAGCACGTACATTACCTGTGTTTGGGTTTTAGACCATACAATATGTGGTCATATTTATTGTTCAGTGCTCTCTCTGCTGCCCAGTTGACCAAAGTCTTGGGGAGCAATTGGAAGAGGACATTGTTGATCCGTTTGATTACTGCAATGTCGAGAGGAACGCCATTGGTGGACATTCTGCCCAGCACCCAGGCCCCTTGACGTGTACTGAGAAAGGTCTGTCGATACAAAAGCGGTACAGTCGACATTTGATCATCTCTCTCAGTCCCGTACCTCCGTGACAAACCAAACGTTTGCATTTCACCTTCTCGGCCGATCTGCTAATCTCCACAGCAATATCACCTCCAGAATTGCCAGTGCCAACCACCACCACCCTTTTTCCTGTGAAGGCATTTGCATCTTTATATTCCCAGCTGTGAAGACACCTGCCAGAAAAGGTTTCATGCCCTGGAGGAATACAGATTTTGCTACAGTCACAAGGAAAACATTTTTTCCAAGAATGTCATGATTTAGATACTATTACTCTAAGATGTCCATTTATTTACCTTGAAAGTCAGACAATGGTAATGTTGGATGGGTGTAGTGACCTGAGCACACCAGAATGGCATCAAAGATGTGCCTCTCTTCCTGTCCGTTCTTGTTTATGGTCACTACTTCCCATTGGCCGGATAGAGAGAAATCCGGCCTTTGCAAAACACTCCTCACTGTGGTCTGAGGTGTGCATGCCCACATTCACAGAAAAATATACATTAATATCAACAACACTGCTTTCATAGAATACTTGAGCTGATGAGATGCCATCTACCTGAAAGTTAATGTATCTAAGCAGGTCAAAGTGTTCAGCATAGAGCCTGAAGTACTGCAGAAGCTGTGAGTTATGCATGAAGTTGGGATAGTCAGACGGCATTGGAAAATCACTGAAGCACATCATTTCTTTGGAGGTATTGACCACCAAGGACCGGTAGATGCTGGTTCGATCTGGCTCAGGTGTCTCCTGTTGACACACATGAAAACAAGAGCAAAGCAGGTAAAAACATCTCTCTGCAACCATTCTACACTTTAATGCAGTGTTTATAATGATTGTTGTGGACAAGCTAAACCCTTTCTCCATATACAGTAATAACAGGATCCAACAACAGTAAGAACAATCATCAAACTTTGCAATGTGGTTGTGCCCCCACTTACTCTAAAATTCCACATGCTGCCAATGTCGTCACTGCTTTCAAAGCAGACAGGCTCGAGCCCCTCATCCACACAGACCTTGATACAGGCCAAACCAGAACAGCCTGCTCCAACTACTGCCACACGTCGAACCATTACTGAACACTTGGGTATGGAAAGACACTGTGAGTCAGACATGTTTCATGCACAAACATGAGACTGCATGCACATTTTTATGTTTCTTCTTCTGTCTTCCATAATCATCTACCTCAAAAGTAGTAACATTGTAAGCTATGTGCACAAAAATAGGTAAGTTTGAAAGACATGTCAGTTGTTCTCACCTTCTTCAGTTATATGCTTGTCGGTCCTGTTTAGCCGGTGTTGGGCGTTAAACGGTGTGTAAGCTCCCATGACCTGAACTCTTGTTGTGCAATCAGTTAAACAATATGCCAGAGGAGGGACTTTAACCCTTCTCTTCAAATATTCTATAAATGAGTGCTGGAATGAGTAAAAGATGTGCTTCTTATTAGAACCCACATGATGGGAAGACTCAGTTTCTCAAATCTGTACATCTTTGCATTGTTGCATCTGGGTCATATGTGACGTAGTGTGTGTCCTTTATTGCGGTTTTTATCCAAATCTTTTGTAATAGTGTGACATCTTTCAATTTGAGGATCTTTGAAGATCCTTCTGTAGGCTTCAATGGCTCTGTTCTGAATGGCTTGATTCTTGGGCTTGCCTATCGATGTGTTTGCTGCTGATTGGCTCCTCCATGACATCCTGCTGTTTAAAGGTTCGGGTTTCTATATTACTCTCCTGACAGCAACTTGGCCCAGACCTCCAAACCCTGCTATACTCTTTCTGTTATAGAGGAGAAGTCTCTTTAGGCCCAGTGTTTGTTAGTGTGGTTTGTATTAAGTGTTCTATCATGTAAATACATAAATTTGTTATCATATATAAAGGCTGAACTGCTTCTTTCCTTCTTTTTCTTTTTTTCTCTCACTGTTTTCTCTTGATTTACATATTATAGGAAGTAAGATTGAGGAGTCTAGTTTGTTGTACTTAGGAATCAGGTATCACTGGGGTTTGTACCACAAAGAAGGTTTGTACTTTAGTCACTAAGACTGAAGTGGAGATGCTATCTTAATAAAGTCTATTCTAATACCAGACTAAAAGGAAAGCTGGCCAAAAAGCAAACTGTATAAGTTACCGGACTTATTCAGTATTCAGTAATTCATGGGAGAATCAGATAATAATTGGATAATAATTGTTGTGTTAGTCATTCTTAGTAATTATTTAGATTTGTGTATGGCCCCCTTTCAAAATAAGCTTCAACCACAACATGACTGGATGAAGAGTGACTGGAAAGCAGACATTAATGATTAAAAAAAAAAAAGATTAACTAATTCCAGTATACAGTGTATTACAGAAGTCCACTCTAGACATAACAAAAGAATGCATATTCATTTCCATAATCATTGCCAGATGTGCTTCTTTTTTTTAAGATTTTAATCTTGAGATTCACCTGAGCTGGGACAAACTGCTGTTGACCACAGCGCTGATTTGCTTTTCGCATTTTAAATTTGTGTGAAAGATTACGCCAAGATTTTTAACCGGTGCTTTAATAAAACGAGTTAAAGTGCAGGTAATCTTTTAACTCTCATTTAATAGTGGAGGACCAAACAATATGGCCTGTGTTTTGGAAAACAACCAGGACATAAAATGACAAGTAAGAATTTATTTATATTTGTTACTGATCCTGTAAAGACAGGGAAAGACAAAGACTCTAGATCTTCTTGCTATCTTGCTAATGGTATTGTTAAGAAGTTCACAGCATGCTTTGGGTGTTTCTCTAAACTAATGTTAGTTTGGCTGAATTCCCTGTAATTTATTTCTTATTTCATTAAAACATTGTTGATGAGGTTGCCACCCTCTTGCCCCTAAACATTCCTTTTAAGGACACCAAAAACATCAGCCTGTTGAATTATCTGATGATATAATCCAAAAGCAGTGTTGGGAAGGTTACTTTTAAAATGTATTCCACTACAGATTACAGAATACATGCCCCAAAATGTATTTTGTAACGTATTCCGTTACGTTACTCAATGAGAGTAACGTATTCTGAATACTTTGGATTACTTAATATATTATCATGCTTTTTACAACTGCATGAATGTACTGTTGCTGTGTGATTTATTACTATTACTGGAGGTCCGCGGCTCCGAACCATAGTGAAGGGACCTCTGGCTAATACGTCGGTTCTGTGTCAGGCTCGTAGCTGAAAAATAAAGACAGAGAGAGGCGTTGAAAGGCTGCTCCAACGGAACTTATTGTTTCAGAGGAAAACACGAACACAGTGTACAGTCGAGTCTTAATAGCTTACTTACAACTGGACTCGTCAGGCACTCTTCTTGGCTGCAGTGGTTATTATTGTTTCTGCTCGGTGACAGCTCGTACTTTTCCACTCACATTTTTCTCCCTCCTCACGCTCATAGACACATAAAGGGTATGGCAGTCCATTCTCCCTGCAGCACGGACTACACTGCCATAATATGGGGCGCCGTTTGTAAAGTGAACCATGCTGAAATTAACGGCAACATTTTTCCACATTTAGCTCAAAACCTTACAAAAGCATGTTTTTTCGAGTAATTTTTTACAACATTTAGTAAAATATTTGTAACTTTTCATCAAATTTTAAATATTAAATCTAAATGTTAAATGTTAAATCTAAATGTTAAATGTTAAATCTAAATATTATATTTAAATCTAAATGTTAAATCTAAATGTTACAGAAAACTAAATATTTAGGCTAACATGCAAATTTATTGTATTGATCAACGGAAATACCAAAATAAAAGCTTCCCGAAAACCTCCGGTGCAAAATTGTGTCTGCTCTCCCCCTCACTTCTCCCCGCCATGTGCTCCAGTGATTTTGAAGTGGAGACTGCAGCTGCTAAGAGTGCACTACTGCTGAACCTTTGGATGGCTGACAAAACGGATCTTCCGATCTTTTCAGCTAAATCGCCGGACATGCTTTCTCATGGTCTGCGCCGGGTTATGGCTGAATTCCAGTGGAATGAAGGTCCCGCCATAATAGGCGTTCCAGCCATGTGTTCCAGCCCTAAACCTAACCTTAACCATAACCTTATTCCTAACATTTACTAGCAGTTAAATGACGTAAAATAGTGTTTTCCAAAGCGATTTTTAGAAAATGAACGAACATATGTAGATTGAGTCCAAACGGTTCTCATGTGCTCTCCTTTTCCGATGCCATCATTTAGGAACGTGTTGGGTACCCGAAAGCATAAAATGTTGACAATTTGTCACCTAGCGAAAATTATTACGCTTAGGAAGTGAGAACGTGTCTGACCACTACCGGCACACTTTTGCACCGGAGGTTTTCGGAAAGCTTTTATTTTGGTATTTCCGCTGATCCGTGCAATAAATTTGCATGTTAGCCCAAACATTTAGATTTAACATTTAGCATTTAGATTTAAATATAATATTTAGATTTAGCATTTAGATTTAACATTTAGATTTAAATATAATATTTAGATTTAACATTTAGATTTAAATATAATATTTAGATTTAACATTTAACATTTAGATTGAATATTTAACATTTAGATTTAATATTTAAAATTCAGTTTTAAATATGAAAAGTTACAAATATTTTACTAAATGTTGTAAAAAAGGACTTGTTTTGAGCTAAATGTGGAAAAATGTTGCCGTTAATTTCAGCATGTTTCACTTTACAAACAGTGCCCCATACCATAAGGCTACATTCTTTAAGCCTATTAGCTTAGCACAACAACAACAACAACAACAACAACAAAAAAGCGCTCGCAGAGAGAGCGCGTCACCATGGCAACCGTAACTCTGCTGCCTGGAACAACAGAACATAGCTGTCAAAATGTCTGTGAAGGTTCTCAGTCATCCAGGTCATCGTAGACAAAGGAGCTTGCAAAGAAAAGCGTCTGGACTTCTTTAAGTTGCTTGAAGACGTTTCACCTCTCATCCGAGAAGCTTCTTCAGTTCTAAGGTCAAATGGTGGAGAGTCCCAGATATAAACTTAGTGGGAGTAACCCCCCACAGAGGGACAAAAGGACCCCCTGATGATCCTCTAATCGCCTGAGCCAAGGTGTGAAACTGGGTGTGGGTCCCAATCAGCCAGAGTTTCGGGTGTTTTCATTCTGAAACCTGGCCCCACCTTATCATGCGAATTCCTGAGGTCAGATGGCCCAGGATGTGAGTGGGCGTTAAGGCGTCTGGGAAGGGATCTCAAAACTGGATTATAGATGGCAGAGAGTTGGTGTCGTAAACCCCCGCCTCTGTTCAAAGATGGTCGCTCACAGTGGACATAGATGGCTTCTTTCACTCCTCTTTCAAACCATCTGTCCTCTCTGTCCAAAATGTGAACATTGGCATCCTCGAAAGAGTGTCCTTTATCCTTAAGATGCAGATGGACTGCTGAGTCTTGTCCTGTGGAGGTGGCTTTTCTGTGTTGTGACATGCGCTTGTGAAGTGGCTGTTTGGTCTCTCCGATGTAGAGGTCTGGGCATTCCTCGCTGCACTGTACAGCATACACCACATTGTTAAGTCTGTGTTTTGGCGTTTTGTCTTTCGGGTGAACCAGTTTTTGTCTGAGCGTGTTGCTGGGTCTGAAATAGCTGTCAAACAAAACCCAAACAGGCCTGACCCGCCACAATATGAAACAGGAAAATACCACCGTGTAATCCATTTATTTCAACAAAGTAACTGTATTCTAAATACCACCTTTTTAAACGGTAACTGTAACGGAATACAGTTACTCATATTTTTTATTTTAAATACGTAACGGCGGTACATGTATTCCGTTACTCCCCAACACTGTCCAAAGGTGTAAACAGTTGAAACAATTACAAAAACCATAATCACTTACAGAGTTATTAACAAAATCATCATCCATGTAAAACTATACCCAGATTACAGTTTGATATTGCACCTGCAAATGTTTGTGTTTGTCCCTGCAACAGTCATGGATGCGCTGTAGAACAACGCCCCCCAGTGGGCAGAATGTAAAAGACATGTCTTCATATCAATGAAGACACGTCTTTCTGATTCTGACAGTGTAATAAATCAATTTATCATTGGTCTTTTATTTTTTTTAAACTACTTTCTCTAGCAGAAAACAACATTCATGGACAGGGACTTCTAAAATATTTTCCAAACTATATCTTTTAGATAACTAACAGAAAATGTAATAAAGGTCATCAATATTAGTTAAATATTAGTTAAAAGTATTTTTGTCTTCTCTCAGTCAAACAGCTCTGAGGTAGTTTAATGACAAAATTACAATGATTTGACCACATCTTTTATATGGTAAATGGTAAGTATTTGTATAGCGCTTTACTAGTCCCTAAGGACCCC